GAGTACGGTAGAAAGTGCAATAATATTTCATATCACTACTAAAAGAATAAGTTGATGATCTAAACATGCAAACTACATTGTTAAGTGAAATGTAGAAATTCGCATTTTATTGCTAATTTATGTATGATCTTGATAGTGACCTGGTTAACCACGTTATTTTAAATGAAATTTATTATTTTCCCTAATCAAACCAAGTTTTAAAATTCTTTTTGTACTTGACGTCCATCTATCAAATACGTTGGGATTAAAATAAAAAACGGGTGTGGCAGTCCAGTGGGACTGCTCGTAGAAGTTATACTTATATACATGCGTTCGCCGTTATAAATTTATATAGGAGTCAATCTGCACAATCATTACATATGTAATGCTATAGCTAAGAGACAGCAGAAAGAGAAAAATAATTAGTTATATAGGTATATGGTGTATCGTTTGCTGTATATAAACATTTGACCTGTAATAGGAGTATAGTAAAGTAAGTATTGTATTAATATTTTAATGAAAATATATATTTTTATTTTCATATATGTATAAAAGGAATCGCAAAAACATTTTTTTACACATACTCTACAGTAAAATTCATTGTTTATTTTGTTATTAATATAAAAATTACAATACAATAAATACAATACAACATAATTCAATATAATAATACAATATAAATTAAAATGCAATATTCATAAGTATTTAAAACTGCCAATATACATAACTTACTTTACTCTCTGTATCTCTGTATGTCAAAATTTCTGGAAAAAATGAATTCTAAAAATAAAAATATTTATTCTATGGCATTTTATATAAAATCTTACCAAAATTTTATGCAGTATATAAAAATCCAAAGATAAGTAGGGTATTCTATTAAAAATAATAAGGTTGATGGCGACTTATGGTAAGCGGAAGTTACAGTGAGTTATCAATATTAAAATGTGAAGTTTTCAGATTTAAAATCCGTATGTTAACGTTAAAAAGTAACGAATTGAAATAAACATATTATACATCTAATATAATTAGGTTATTACAACACGTTCATTTTAATTTTATATAGTTTAATAGTTTGGTTTTATGAGTAGCTCAATATTCCAGCAACAAGATTCACAAAACATAGCAAATGTTTTGTGTATCTCTCTAGTTTACTCTTATATTCGTAATCCGAACATGAATATTTATCCAATTATTTTCAACCAACCACGCTTATGTATTATACATATTTTATTTATACCATACTTTTCTTTAATTTTTAAAACATATTTAATTTTGGATAAACCAAATAGGTACATCATGTAAAGCTGATTCGATAATTTAATTAATTATTTATACAAAAAAATATTTACATTTTAAATATTGCACAAAACTTTTCTGGGAATTATACTCCATAGAAACAAATAGAAATAAATAACTATTCATAGGTAGAAAAAATATAAAAGTTTAAAAGCAAAACAAAATTGGACGAGACAAATAATATAATAGGCATATGCCACATAAACATATTTGCACCATACACAAACAAGAAGATTTTTTTGGAAGCTCTAACCACAGAGTACTATGTCACCGTATGTCACCATATACAGAACGGATAGTAGAAAAATACCAGGCTGGTCTCAGAGGTGATAAATCGACAATTCATCAGATTGCAACCCTGAAACAAATTTTGGAAAAAACACTGGAATATGGCATTGTTACTTATCACATATTAATAGACTACAAAGCAGCCTACGACTCTGTGAATAGAAGAGAAATGTTCAAAGCAATGAAAGAACTCGGAATACCAAATCAGTTAGTAGATTTACCAAAATTAACCCTTAAAAGTTAAATGTAGGGTACGAATTCAGGGGAAACTGTCTGAACCTTTTAAAACAAATAACGGGCTGCGCCAGGAAGATCCTCTCTCCTGTATACTGTTCAATCTTGTTTTGGAAAAAGTAATAAGTATGGCACAAATCGCAACAACTGGTTCAATATATAATAAATCAATGCAAATCCTGGCCTATGCTGATGATATCAATATTTTTGAAAGAACGGAAGAGGAACCATGCTGTACGAGAGGCGTATTCAGCATTAAAAGAATCAGCTATTAAAATGGGTTTATTAATAAACACCAACAAAACGAAGTATATGAAAATAAGCACGCAACCACAAATTATACGACCACTTGTTATAAAAAACAACGTCATCGAAGCAGTGAACGAATTTGTATACCAGGAGCGCTCCTTAACACTGAAAATATTACTAACACAGAGATTAACCGCAGAATTTGTACGGCCAACAGATGCTCTTTTAGGCTCAACCTCCTCCTTAAATTTACAATTATATCAAGAAATACAAAAATAAAACTCTACAAAACAATAACACATAGTCCTAACATATGGTTCAGAGACCTGGACTTTAGCAAAAAATAATGAAAACATATTAGGATGTTTCGAAAGAAAAGAACTAAGGCGAATCTAAGGAGCAGTGAATAATAATGAAGTGTGGAGAAGACGATGCAACTTCGAACTTTATAGAATATACCAGGAACCAGATATCGTAAAACATATTGATAGAAAGTTTGAGGTGGATAGGACATGTAATTCAGATGGAACAAAAAATGACCCAGCTAGAAAAACGCTTCTTGATAAATCCATTGGTCAGAGAAGAGGAAGACCTAGAACAAGGTTCCTTGATAACATTGATGTAGACATGAGAAATATGGAAATACGTACTTGGTAGAAAAAGGCCGGATGGATAAAAGGATGGATAGGGACGACTGGAGAGAAATTCTTGGGGGGCTAGGACCCACGCAGAGTTGTAAGCTAAAATGGTGATATGCATATGACAAAACAATATATTATGAACAATCCATTTTAATAGCTCATTCGCCACTAAAAATAAGAAAATATTATTATTAACTGACTTGTAATAAATATTTAACCTTATATATTTTAGTATTGCTATTTTTGAATTTATAAATACTATCACAATTAAGTTAGATCATTCACTTTAAAAAAGAAAAGCCTTCTTATTCTTCTTCTTCTTCTTTATGTGCCATTTCCATCAGTGAAAGACAGCGGATATGGTTTTGCTCTGCAAATGACAGAGAAATCTATTTTATCCTTTACCGATCAATTGAGAAATGTAGTAGGTACTTTTAGTCACGACCCAAAGGACAAAAATAACTGGTTTAGCTTATTTTAACCGTTCTCAATAATAGTCGTTTTTTAATTTCGTCCTAGAAGCATTCGAAATGTGGTGTTACCGACGTATTTTGAAAATATCATGGATGGATCGCAAAACAAACGAACAAGTTCTCGAACAACTAGGAAAACAATGCGAAGTTTTAAATTCCATAAAAATCAAAAAAAAGGAATACTTGGGGCACATCATGAGAGGTGAAAAATACGAAAAATTAAGGAATATAATGCAAGGTAAAATCAAAGGTAGAAGAAGCATAGGAAGACGTAAAATCTCGTGGCTACGCAATCTCCGTGAATGGTTTGGATGCAGTTCAATTGAACTATTCAGGCGCGTAACCAACAAAATTATAATTGCAAGAATGATTTCTAATCTCCATTAGGAGTGGAACTTGAAGAAGAAGAAGAATTTCGTCTATTTAGAAGTTGTTTATTTGTTTTTTGTGCAGCCAAAGAATTTTTAAAACTTTTCGGTTCACTTAGGTATATGTTGAATGGCCCTAACTTATTTAGATTCTGTATATTTTGATTCCTCGTTTTGAATTCAGAGATAACATCATACCAAACAAAACATTTTACAAGTTTTTTATCTTAGCTTAAAATCGTTATATACTTTGCAGCAATTCTCGTATTAATTTCTTGTTCTGATTCAAGCATGTAGTTATTCCAGCAGCCAATTATTTGTAATGGTTGAAATGTTTAATATGTTCTCATTTATCATTTATCCTTACAGTTAAAGGGACATTCTGCCTCTTTTGGATGACCATTCCCTTAGTTTTTTTCTCGTTAATATTCATTCCAAACTCTCGACAAACTATATTATATTGTTTCAAGACTTTCTATATAAATTCTACATAAATATAAAGTACACACTCGTACACAATATTTACAAACTCAAATCACCGCTGATTTAAATCACACCGTAATTCTTAAAGATCTCAGTCAGATAAGGGGAGAAAACGAACAAGCTAAATGTTAGCTATTTTATATATTAGCGGAAACGTTTTGTTTTGTATTTACAAAACAATCATATTTGAAAGATTACAGTAATTTTCTTAATCCATGTAAAACAGATTTAATCAAGTATAGTTGTAGTATAAAAATAGCCTTACATGTCACAATAAAGCTATTTAAAAATTTAAATTAATGATAAAAACAAACAAAGAATGTGCCTATTTCAAAATATTAAATTGTTAAATTGAAAACCAATGTAGTTAAAACACAATAAATTCAAGTAGTGAACTTATTAAAAAATTATTAAATAAACAAATAATGTTTATTTGTTTAATGGCACTAAAGTGCACACCGTCAAAATTTGAAAATTTAAGGCATGTCTGTGATATTAATTACCAGCCGCCATTATAGCTGTCGACAGGTTGTAGTTGTCAGAAAGCATCGACGCAGAAAAGAAACAAACAAACTTAACAGGTGGATAGAGATGACGATGTCGCTTTTTTATTTGAAATTGGTAGTATACTATCCTGTCACATTGATGAATACGAATATAACAACTTTAGTAGTTTCAAAATATCAACGATAACGACAAATTCAGACGTTTATGCAAATCCTTTACTGAAAAAGCGGCACTTAAAAAACATTATTAGACCAAGTGGGAATTGTATGCACAGAAGCAAATTCTTAAATCTAAATTTATCAATAAGAAGCTTTATGTACTTTGTATAATTATTAATGACAAGAATCATTTAGCTCAATTAAAATTTACGACCGTTTTGTTCAAGTAGAATCAGTATTTAATTCCCGACACTCATGTCTAACCAATGATTACAAAACAACAACTAATTGGATCTTTTACTCCGTTGAAGAATAAAAACTTACCGCTTGCCGAGTGGATCACAGGAAAAATCACCAAGATGTTCCAAGGTAATGAAGGAGTTATTTGATTGGTCAGCGTCAGAACGTCCCAAGAGACTGCAAAGCGAGGTCTAGTTAAAGTGTTTGTGCTTCCCTTAAAACACGATTAGAAATTAAATCTTTCTGATTTGTTCGGTTTGTAATTAGTTTATATTCATTTTAAAATTATAGTTTATATAGCTAATATATATTCAAATAATATTTTATTTTTTACGTCATTTTACATTTATTTTTTAACTCAAGTAGCTTTGAATAAGTCTTACATCTTTGTGAGACCGATGTGGTTGTGTGACAAATTCAAAGCTTACTAGAGGCTATTGAATTTGTGGCTCACCTAATTAGCTTTCAAAGAGAGGTCTTTCGACTTCTTGTTGCTTCGTAGAAATGTCGCTGCTAACGTACTCAGGCAGTTATTGTTACTATAACGGCCCAATACTGGACAGCATTTTATTTTAGTTTGTACTTCCACAAGTGTTTCTGATGAGAGTTGAATAACTCGAAACACGTTTAGAACATAATTACAATTTCCCTATAACGGGTCGTCATAAGGACAATGTATTAATTCTTTCTCTGTACCGATATCGTTATATCTTTATAGCGATGACTTTTCAGCGTGCAATAGTCGACGGCAAAAGTGTAATTGTATATAAAGCTCAGACTACCTGAGTCACAAGGTCACGTTTTGTTTTACGCTTATGGAATGCGATCAGCCTTCCTACTCATTGTTATCCAAGGGTGGAATGCCACACTTTTATTGTTCTTGGGGCGTACCCCACCGTTTTCACACAGATATTGTCATCTATTCACGACTTCTTACTTTCAGTTTCAGTTTTGTCTTGGTGTGTGAACAGTCAACATGTTTTTGAAAAAGCGTAAAGTGCTCTCCGTGGAAGAAAAATTATCGATAACTCGGGCAATAGAGAAAGGTGAACCGCAATCGGATGACGTTCGTCGTAGGATGCTCTTTCAGTTGATTATGGCTACGATATGGAAGGACAAAAAAAGTGGCTCAAAGTGAAAATGGAGGGCGATATGCGATAGGCTAATATTTCAGTGGTTCCAGCAGCAGAGTATGAACCTTTCTGGGCCTGTGGTCAGGATAAAAGCTATGTTTTTTACAAATGAGCTTGAAATTGAGAGTTTCAAGGCAGCTGAAGGTTGGTTGAGCAAATGGAAGTTGCAGCACAAGATCAACTACAGGCAGATTAGCGGAGAGGCTCGCGATGTTAACGGAGATTAGATTATTTTTTAGAATGATACCAAACTTTTTGAATCGGAAAACTGCGTTGATACAAAACTCTCTAAGATACGCATTACGATTACGATTTTAGTGGCAGCTAACATGACAGGTTCAGTGAAGAGAAAATTGTAAGGAATAGAAAAGTCGAAAAACCTACGTTGCTTTTAAAACATCAAAAATCTACACACGACCTACAAAGCAAACAAGAGTGGGTGAATGACTTAGGATTTTTTTAAGAAGCGATAAGAAGATAGGATGTTGAACTTAAAGGAAAAAAAATCTTCTGCTTGTAAACAATTTTTCTGTTTATCCTGTACTCTGTGATCTTTAAAAAATTAAATTATATTACCTGCTAGCAAACACAATGAGTGTCCTTTAGCCCATGGACCAAAGTATCATCAAGGGTTTAAAAATCCATTAAAGGTAAAGACTTTTGATGGAATTGGTTATGAACAATGGCGATATTAAACTAAACGTTCTTGACGCCATCCTAATGATTAGCAAGTCCTGGAAAGAGCTGACGAGCAATACGATAAAACATTCCTTTTAACACGCAGGATGTTTGGAAGATCAAGGATGGATTAAAAATGAAGATGCCATACCGTTAGCTGTTTGGGCCAGACAGTTTCTATCACATCCGGACCGGAAGAGCTAACAGTTAAGACACCTTTGACAAAATAAACCACAGGGTATAATTTTTTCAATACATTTAGGGCATTAAAAGAGTAACTTACTTTAAAAAGCTATTGACAGAAAATAGAACAGGCATTCAAAATAATGAAAATAAAGGAAGAATAATAGATATCATCGCCTTGATTAATGTAAACAAATCAAGAAAATATCCCCATCGTAAGTCTTCAGGCCGAACTCGGTAAGGTACCATTAGATTTAAGACAGAAATTAATACTTTATTATGAAACAGTACTCTTTACAATGTCACCAAATCATTCATTCCTTGAATATTCAGCGCGCAAAAACCTACATTCCCTTTTGTGAAAGATGCAGACGATCATAAATGAATTAAATCTTGAAGTTCCCGAGATCTATCCTAGCAAGATGCGAGCTCCCCCTCCTTGGCTAATATCTTCTCATATAAATTTGGGTCGCTTATCAGAAACTAAAAAAGAAACCTATCGTCATCTAATAATTAATTCTAAATGTCTAACCTTAATTTTTCAATTTTATTTTATTTACCAAATTACCAATTTAATCTCCTACCTAAAGAAACATTAATTCGTCATCGAGAATAGCAAGTAAATAAGAATAGATTCATGAATTCGTCCCCAAAAAATTATGAATCAGTATTAAAGTATCATGTCACCGTTGGGTTTTTATGTTTTATCACAAATACCTATTTTGTTTAAAATTTAATTTTTTTTAAGTTATAGTGATAAGTTTTTATTACTATACAGCTATTATATCGTTTTATATGTTGTGTTAAAATGTATTCCTTAACATCTTCGAAAGTGACACTATCTGATAAAAATAAGGCGATGACGATGTTTCTAAATACTGTATAGAGTATGGATTTAGTTACGTTGACTATGCCTATTTTGTGATAACCAATAAAGATAAAAGCTTTACGAAAACATCAAAATTATCACTAAAGATTACATAAATTTCTATTAATCTTAAATCAATTTTTAAGCGATATTCAGTTTAATACATAATATATATTAGATTAAAAGTTTTAAGTTAACTATTTTTAGATGTTGTTTTATTTTAGACAATCTTGTGCCAATTAAATATTAACATAGTGTCTGCAACAGTATCTCATATCTCTCTCTACTACAGTATCATTTTTTAATTACAACTTTTTGTTTAAACTTAATTTAGATAAAACTACAAATTTTTATCTTAAGTCTGATTGATTCTTAATGCTAAAGTTAAGGCTGTTTTCGCAGTTATAGCATACTGCGATTTGAAGTGGGCGTATCACTTACTTTTCTACACTGCTATGTCAGACCCTACGTGACCTCCTAATAGATTGGATGTTTATTCAGTGGCGCCGGCCCACGGGTTGTTTAAAATAAATGCATTATTCTCAATTCAAATTAGTTTTGTCGGAATACTTTTTTTTTTAGATTAATTATCGTAGATAATGTTTTAAAAAGAATTAATCACATTTTTAATTTATATGTCTTAGCTAAACATAGTATTAAATAAAAATTTGTGAAACGTGACTGCAAAAAACACCATTTTTATTTATAATAAATTTAAATTTTGTTATATTAATATTAATATATAATTAATATTTTGTTAATATTTGTTAGAGAAAACTGATATTAGCGTAGTAAAAATTAAACAAAAAATATTTTTATTTATCTATAAAAAATTGGTACCTGCGAAACCATCATAATAGTAAATGTATTTATCTGGCAAGTATTTCGAGGCGACGCACTGCGAGGAAAATGTTCTCTGAATGGAATATACATTATTTTAATATATTTATAGGTTGCAGTTACATAAGAAAAGTATCCAATTGATGAATAAAACACAAATCGTGGATAGTTATTTCATCATATCAGTGGTATTACAGCTTGTCATGAGCCAAAGGCTTCTTCAGAACAATCTTCCATTCGCCCCTGCCTCTGGCAACTTTCTCCATGCTTTAACTCCGATGGATTTTAGATCATCCTCTGTGTTATCTTGATACCTAAGTTTTGGTCTTCCTCTGGATCGTCTTCCCACTGGTCCTCTTCGGTCGAAAATTTTTCTGATCGTTTCATCTTCATCTCGCCTAATTACATGTCCTATCCATCAAAGGCGTACTAATAAATTTTACAACGTCAGGTACTACACCTGAAGAAGCATCGTAGTTTACTTTATACGATCTTTTTGACCAAGCACCATCAGCTATAACGGTTATTAACCCATTTCCGTCGGAATCTACTTCACCAATTTCTTTGGCTAAAGCTAATTCCTCCCGTCCAGTCTCTTCTAAGGAATCACAAAGTGTTTGGCCGATGATATCTGCAACTGTTTCGGTATGTTTTGCATACTGCCTGTAGGAAATCACAGGTATATTTAATGCAGCGTGCTGCTGCTGTATGTCTGAATAACCAGAACCATTCAAGTTCAGTGAATTGTTACCAGAACCCTATGTTGCTATCTCCTTTTCAATATTCCACATTTGACATTTAAAAGTCAATGTACTTATCAATCCGTCCATTTTTTCTTTGATAACCTCCATATTAGAAAAGTTGCATGAAAATGGAGAATGATTATTCAAACCTTGAATAGATATATATATATATATATATATATATATATATATATATATATATATATATATATATATATATATATATATATATATATATATATATATATATATATAATATATATATATCGGAAAAAGGAGTACGACCGTCAATCCAATATATATATAAGGATCACTCAGACGAGTGGTGGGTTCTTATATCGGTCTCTAGGTGGAGAAATAAAAGACAAAGTTGATAGGCTACTTTATCTATTTTGAAGACGTTTCGCTTTCGAGTTTTGAAAGCATCATCAGTTCATCTAAAAAATTATTACAATATGAGAACCACACAATCATGGAAACGATGTTAATTGTTACCTTAAAAAGATATGTAGCAGTCAATGTTATTAACAAATATGTGAATGAAACTAAGTAAATGGACATAGTACGCTGATCTTGTATAAACAGTTAAGCAACTAACAACATATATGAACTTGTACAAAAATTAGCACAGCAATTGACCATGTGGTCCAAAATAAATTCAATGTTATTTATGTTAATAAGTGAGAAAGAACCAAGAAAATCATAAATAACCTCCAACTATTTAATGGATAT